AACAACGCTGATATGATGGCCTTTGTTGAGTCGGTAACAGCACTTAGAGACGTAATCGGTAGACAGAAACACGAACCATCAAACAAGGACCTGTTCTTACTCACTAAACGAACACACTGTGGTAAATATGGTATGAACAGAGTAAACCCTGAAGGAAGGAAAGTTCAATGGTATCACTTGTATAAGATACTAGACATCAACTCATTTCCAATGCTTAGTCCTGTGGGGTTTCTATTGTCTCGATAGCATCACTGAACTTATCCAGAATTATAGACTTTACCGTGCTTCAGTCTTTTAATCAAATTTATGATTATGTGGTTCTCTGGTTCAACCCCATGTCAAATAATTCCAAGGAAAGACCGAGGATATATTTGATCGTTATCAGTTTATAGTCCCGGCAGACTAGAGCTATTGGTAGCACATATTTTCATGGGAGACCAATATCTAATTACATCACTAGCTGTCGGGCAGAAGAAAGTGATTGAATAAAAAATAAAGACTTCAATATTTAGAGAACAATTAGGGCCAATCTTTAGGTGAAAGATTAGCGATTAAATTAAAATTAATCCTCGAATGATGTTTTTAAGTACTCAATTAGTTAATTTTGTTTGCAAGTTTAAGCGCCCAATGGAGGTGGTTTAATCTTAAGCACGAAATGCAAAAGTGTAAACAGCTGATGCAAAAAAATTAATAAAATTTTTATAAATATAAACATTAAAATGTTCTATTTATTGATTAGTATAAATTATGGACACTTCAAAATAATTTTTTTTGTTTTTAATTTTTCATTAATTTTCATATTAAATTTACAATTGTCTTCTTCTTTTTTATAAAATTCTGTTGTTTTGTATGGCAACACTGCGAAGTTTAATCTTGTACTCAAAAACATCAAAGGGGATTAACATAAGATTAAATTTATTTTTAGATTAACTAATCTGATTATTAATTGGCATTTGATTACCATCTCAAAAACCCGCTCTTAAAGTCATAAAAGTGAAAATTCGGAAAATTGGTGGGTAATATGATATTTATATCGACACTTTCGAAATCAGTCCTCCAAATAATGCCCTTTTTGAGACGTTATAACAGCGACAAGACATCTTTATTTAAAGTTTAAAATAAAGATATCTCGAAGATATGTAAGATGTTAAGCCTCTATTTAAAAGCTGACAGAATGGGCTTTCACATGGCATACATTTTATAAACAAAGTTGTCTGGGCGCTATCAAAATGTGCAAAAATGGCAGTTTTTCAATCTTCAAGACACGATATCTCGAATCTCAGAAATACTGAGCCCAGATTCGGATGCAGCGCAGCTCAATCCTTTAAAAAATCCATATAAGTATCACTATTTATGGAATAGTCATATAACATTTATTGTCATTATTTTGGGTTTATTTTCTTAAATGACAGTTATAAAAATTATTACACACCAAATATAATTGTTATATTTACACCAACAACTTTGTTAAATCATCATTGTTTAGTTAATATTTTTTTCAAATATTTTATGGACTTTACTTCTTTTCTTTTGATTTGATCATTCATTGGGCAGTTTGTCATACAACAATTAAGCAGACAGATGAATGGATGGTTTTCCGCTTTCACTATCATTTTACTAGAGTACAAGTTTTATGTACATTGACAATTACAGAATGCTTACATATTCGGTTTATTATTTTTTTTTATTATATTATGACTGCACTTGTTTTAATTTCTTTTTTTCAAATTTGAAAAGTTTTAATATACTATTATGGCTCCAAAAATTTGTCATAACAACATTAGAAAAGAAAAGTCCAAAACAAATATACAAACATAAGAGGTGGCTAATAATAGACAAAATTAACCCAAAATGTAAAGTTATTGGTCAATTAAGTTTTTCTTCTGGTTTTATTTTATTGTTTGTAATTAAAAAAAAATACTAAACAAATGTTGTTTATGTGAATTTTACAATTTGGTATTATTTGCTGTAATAAATACGATTATGTAAAATACATAACTACTGTTAATTTTAGTCTTATGATTACCGTTTTGAAAATAAAATATGGAGCGCTATATTTACATCTCAAAGCTCCTGTGTTTGAACCAGGGTCAAATTCTGGAATTCGCGTCCGAATGCCAGAATTTGCCTCCAGTTTTCATCCAAACGTAATAAAAAACAAGTAAGAAAGTATAGTCGGGCGTGGCCGACCATATGATACCCTACACCAGTTATGAATATTAAATGTGATTTATTTTTCATAATAAAGCATTTATCTTCAATATTCCCTTGTTCCGATACATTTAAGCAATTTATGGATGAAAAACTAATTTTCTGAAAGAGGCTTTATATGGGGGCTAGGGGCAAATATGGACCAAGCCCGATAAAATTTTGTGGATATATTTATATTTACATAATATTTTATTGTACTGAATTTCATCGCGATATTTGTGTTTATAAGTTAATTTGGGACATTCAAGTTCTGAAGGGCACTTTGTATGGGAGCTAGGGTCAAATGGGGCCCGATCTTTATGAAATTTGGCAGGGTCATCAAGACTTCTATAAAACTTAGTTGTGCCGTATTTTATCGATATATCTGTATATTTAACATAATTATGAGCTCAGAAGCCCTTTTCGTGGGGACCTGTTCTATGGGGGCTAGGTGAAATAATGGACCGATTTTAACCATTTTCAATAGGCTTCGTCCTTGGGTCAAATAAACGTGCGTGCCAAATTTCCACCAATTATCTTGAAAATTGCGACCTGTACCTTGCGCACAAGGTTTACATGGACAGCCAGCCAGCCTGCCAGACGGACGGACATAGCTTAATCGACTCAGAAAACGATTCTAAGCCGATTGGTATACTTTAAGGTGGGTCTAGGACGAATATTTTTGTATGTTACAAACATCAGCACAAATCCAATATACCCTCCCCACTAAAGTGGTGTAGGGTATAATGATATCACGGTTAAAAATATGGATTTTCAAAATATAGTTCAATGGCAGAATGAGGACATATGATTTATAATTATGATTGCAGTCTTTGAAATATCTTCCACATTTAGCGACATATATATTTGCCCAAGGACTCTTACCAGGACGTATTACGCCTTTTCCCAATAAGTATTGAAAATTTGGCGATAACAAGTTTTTGTGGATCAAGACTACGTGTGCGAGCTTCAACTGGGCTTCCTTTTATTTAGGTATAATGAACTAAACAGTGTTTTGTTTAAAAATGTACATTATTCTGAGAAAGCAATTGCATTAATAAAGAATAAAACCTTAATTCGACAGAAACTATTTTAATTATAACCTTCACCTTCGTGGAAAGGGTATATAAAGTTTGTCCTTCCGTTTGTAATTTCCACAATATAATATTCTGACCCTATAAAGTATATATTTTCCGGATCCTCAAAGATAGCGGAGTAGAATCTGTCTATTGAAATCAATTTTCTGATTATTTAAGATCTAAGTCTTCAATAATTCTATCTGGCACTCTTTCTACCCTACTCCTACTTAATCCTACTTAAAATCAGCAAAATTGGTCCATAAACAACGGAGATATGAGCAAAAATATATAGATACTCTTTTCCAACAATGCTAACCAGTTCCAACCGTTAATCATCAAAATAATTTCTTTATACTTGGTGTTCATAAATATATTTTGTAAATATTAACTAAATTTAAAATTATTAAAGAAAATGTACAACAAAATGTTAAAATTTACAAGCAAACACTATAAAATCAAACAAATAAATTCAGGGTGGAATTATGGCTGGTATACCTAACCAATAAATGAAGAGAGAAATGATGCAGGAGAGAAATAACCCAACAATATTGTATAGCGCAGGCACTACTTTAGGATAATCAACGTGCCTGGTTAAATGGATTGTCAGGTGATTTATTCCATTCCTTCATTAACATTTGCTTCCACTGAGACATGCGAAGTGTAGGATTCTCAGCTTTAATACGTGGCAGGTTAGCAGATTCAAAAGCTTTAAAGGCGGCACGCATACGTTTCTCGGGATGTTTGTCTTCCTCCTCGTCTTTGACACTAAAAGTAATTTTTTAAGGATATTATTTTCTTTACAGAAAACCGGAAGAGCGTAAAACTAACCTCAATACAGCAATGGCTTGTTCAATACCAGTAGCCACTTCCACATCGGCCATACTACGGTTGAGATTTTCTTCTATATAATCATTTTGTACTACTACTCTAGGTGGTAGAGGTTTGTTGGCCGCATTTATAGCATCTATTGCTCTTTGTTTCTTTTCCATTTCCTCCAAAATCTGTTGACGATTAATTTTCGCCAACGGTTGTTTACCCTGTGTCTTTATAGAATTCATTTCCTGATCGAGTAGAGCCTTAGCTTCAGCCTTCCTTTTGGCAGCTTCCGCTTTTTTACGTTCATCTTCTTCACGTTTCTGTTGCTTGCGGGCTAATGTCTTGTCATCATCTTTCCAGAGACGATCTTCTGCCTCCTTGGTTGCTTTCTCTTGTGTGGCTTTCTTAATGGCAGCTTTACGTTCTCGGGCTTCCACAGCCTTGGAATTCATTCCCATTTTTTTAGGCATTTTTTTCAATGTTTTTTTTTATAGATTTTTAGCAAAAAATCTTAATTTTAGGGAAATTTATATATTCTCTTTTGTAGAATATTGTGGAAACTTTTTTTTGCAATTTTTTTGTTATTGTTGTTATAAATTGACAACTTCACCACACATAACAAACACCAGTATTGCCAGATACAATTTGTAAAATTTTAGCAATTTGCACTTTTCACTAAAATTATTTGGAGATTTTTGTGAATTAACAAATTTTTTGCAAAATGTTTTTAAAAAAACAATTTTAGCGAAATATTGCAGGAAAAAATGATAGAAAAATATTTTTTTAAATTTATGTAAACAAAATATTTCATACGGCAAAGTTACTTCAAGTTGCTATAATTTGTAATGTTGCCATACTCTCCACTGTAAAACAACACTGTTAATTTCTTTTTGACGTTTGGCATTTTCATTTGTAAATAAACAAAACAGCTGGGAGGATAAACACAATTTTTTTGATTTAGAAAATATTTTGTCGATTTAATTTCAATAAAATAAAAATATGGATATTTTAAAGGCTGAAATTGCCCGAAAACGTAAACTTTTGGAAGACAAACAACTAGTCGATGACAAAAAGAAGTATTTCAAGAGAGGAGAACTGATAGCCAAAAGTACCGAAGAAATTTTGCAGAAGCAGGGCTACAAAACCCAGGAAAGTAATGAATCCGATCAAAATACCAACGATGGTGGCTACAATTTCACCAATGATGGACAAAATATATTACCGAGAGTGGAAGTTATACGCAGATTAAGAGAACGCGGAGAACCCATATTGCTGTTTGGTGAAACCGAGCCAGAGGCATTCCAACGTCTGAGACAGTGTGAAATTTCGCAGCCGGAAGCGAATAGAGGTTTCCGTAATGATTTCCAAGAAGCCATGGAACAAGTGGATCAAGCCTATTTGCAAGAAATGTTTGCCAATGCACCAACTTCGAAGGAGGAAAAGAAAAATGAGTTTGCAGAAATTGACGAGAGTGTAGACTGGGAGAGCATCAAAGCCATGTCCCTGAAAATGGGGCGCAATAACAAAGAATACGATATGGATGTTATAATGACTTTATTGACCTATATACTCAAATTATGGAGTGATCAAATTTCGAATTTTTCGAAACAAGAGAAAATGTCCACAAAAGTTAAAATGGCCCGTGTTATCTATACCCAAACTAAAGAATATGTTAAGCCACTATTTCGTAAATTAAAAAATAGATCACTGCCCGATGATATTCTAGAAAGTTTAAGTGATATTTGTAAACATTTGCTTAACAGAAATTATATTCATGCCAGTGATGCCTATTTGGAGATGGCTATAGGTAACGCTCCCTGGCCTATTGGTGTTACTATGGTTGGTATTCATGCCCGTACTGGACGAGAAAAGATTTTTTCGAAAAATGTTGCTCATGTCATGAACGACGAGACACAACGTAAATATATACAAGGCTTAAAACGTTTGATGACCAAATGTCAAGAATACTTTCCCACGGATCCCTCAAAATGTGTTGAATATGTTAGTAAAAAAGATCGTGAATAAATAATAAATATTTGAAGAAATAATTAAAAAACCTTTGTAGTTGTATGTAGTTTAAGTTCCAGGTGTATAAAAAGGCTATTTTGTTGATAGCCATAAGACAAAATTATGGAATTATTTGTTTTTTATTTATTCAACACCAAACATATATTAGATATAGCTCCAAGGTCATAAAATTAAGTACAATTAACTTATTTACCTTTACGTCCGAGTTCAGCGGCACGTTGGGAAGCTTTTTCAACGGCATTCATAAGGGTAGATCTTAAAAAAGAGATAATTTATCAATTCACAGCAATTTATTACAAATTGTTTATTTTACCTTAAGTTTCCTTTCTCTAATTCATGCACTCCCACAATTGTGGCACCACCTGGGGAGCAGACTTCATCTCTTAAAACAGCGGGATGTTTTCCGGTAATCATAACAGTCTTAGCAGCTCCCAAAACAGTTTGTGTGGCAAACTGTAGAGCCATTTGACGAGGAACACCATTTTTAACAGCACCATCTGCCAAAGCTTCGATAATGGTGTAAACAAATGCAGGACCACAGCCTGATACCCCTGACACAGCATCAATCATTGATTCGGGTACTTGTTGGGCTATACCCAAAGAGTTTAGCATTAAATGAACTTTTTCCAAATCCTGTTGCACTATATAAGAACCGGCCGTATAAACAGTGCAACCCTCACCCACTTGCATGGGTGTATTTGGCATAGTGCGTATCATTTTCAAACAATCTATAAAAGAGAAACTCTAAAAAAAATTCTATAAATTAGACCTTTCTTAATTTTCTTAAATTGATTTCCATACCTCTTCCAAGTCCTTTAAATTTACACCAGCCAATACGGACACAAATAACTTATCTTTATCCTTGGCTGTTCTTACATGATTATTCCTTAATTGCATAGCACAAGGTGTCAGAATGTGGGGTTTTACACAAATAAATATAATATCAGTTTTATCTACAATTACATTATTGTCTTCTGTTGTGGCTACTCCAATATCACGCCAACGTTGAAGATTTTCTAAATTTGGTCCGGAAACAAATACTTGTCCCGCCTTAACGATTCCCTGATTGATGAGACCAGAGCCAATGGCGAAAGCCATATTGCCACCACCAATGAAACCGATTTTTTCGTCAAGTTTGGCCATTTCTGAAATATAAAAGAAATAGTTTATTATTCAATTTTCAAAATTCTTTTATTAGCTCAAATTTTGAAATAGAAATCTCTATTTAGGTGATGTATATTTCAAAGAATACTATTTTTTTTAGCTAAAGTTTTTTTGAAGATTTTTTCGCAACTAATTTTTTTTGCATAATTCCCTTGCTAGCTCAAATTGTTGTATGTCTCAAATGTTTTATCTTGTTTATATTTTTAACGTTATCTATCCCTTTTTCTTTTTTATTGTTACAAGTTCTCTATCGCCAACTTTATTTTCCTAAAGAAAATCCTTCAGCTTTCTAAATGATCTTTGATCATTCTGTCTTCTTATAGATTTTGCCAATTATAGTTTTCTTAAATCTCTGGCTATCTAATTTTTGGACAGTTTTCAAAGGTTTATAAACATCTCTCTATATCTTAGCCTATTACCATAAGGCTGTTATAGGTACCAGACAGGCAAGAGGGTAATGATTACATTTTCAGTTACAATTACATTTAAAGGAACAGGACAGCGCAATGTGGAGAGTATAACAGAGGAGTAATGATTCTGGGGCATTATCAACTAGCCATGGAACAGTAAAATGAATTGTAAAGTAATAAAGGCATTATGGATAATATACTTATAAGATAATATACTCTAAGGCTTTGACTGTTATATGCACTTTTCTCTAGAGATGACAGATGGATAGTGAATTTTCTATAGATTAAACCGTTATATAGGAAATTTTCTATACAATAAACAAGTATAATACTAAAATATGCAGATAATTTATCCGATAATTTAGAAGAGATATATTAAATTAGCTTTGTTCTCTGATGTTGAGATTCCGTAAGGACTATATTGAACAGTCTACAATAAAGGCTACAAAAATGGTCCAATAAATTTATGAAGATTCACTTCAAGTGAATTTATTGTATAAGTACAATTTTAACTGTCACTATGTTATTTAACACAAATCTGTATTGTACGTTATTGATCCAAAAAAAAGCAATGTAGATTCTTGCTGATAGATTTAAGACTAATATTTTTGAGTTACGATATTATTTCCGTTTTTACCCAAAATAAAAATTTTAGACGGCAACTCTTGCTGTACTTGGAGTACAACAGATAGCGTTACATTGTTGCAACAAAAACAACAAACAATAACAAATCATTACTTATAGATTCCATTTATGTGTAGCTTATCCAAATGAAATATCCTCCAGTTTATGTAATAAAAAGAAACTATATTGTTACGAAATCACCAGAAATCTGCCACTCTAAGCAAAATTAAAAATGAAAGTAATCTACATATTTTATTTAACAACAAAAATATCCACTACGTCATAGCACGTGTTTGATATATTCAATATAAAACCAAAACAGTATCCGAACAGATTATTTGTACTTTCTCAACAGAATTATAGAGATAAACAAATAAACATTTTCTTTGTGTTTTATTGATACATAAACAATCAGTTAAATTGCATTGTTGTTGTATAAATTTCTTATCAAGTTTTCAGGGCAGAAGTTAGCATTTAAGGAAAAATAACAAGAAATATATTATTTTTTATTTCACCTTTAAGTATATACGCTGAACTGCTTTTTATTATTAATATAACACTAATTATTATTTTTTTTTTTTTTTTTTTTTTTTCCACTATAAGTAAACCTAAAAGGTTAAAAGTTGGACAAGCCTTAAAGGCTTATATTTCCAGGGTGACTAATTATTATTAGAAATAAAGTTTTTTTTATAACTTTCTTAAGATTTTTTCACTAATTGCTTGAAATTGACAACCGGCGACTGAGCCCTGCGCCGACAAATATTAACGGCGGCGGCGACTGACACTAAATATGTCGGCGGCGGCTTAAAATCGATTGTAAGCCGGCTAAGTTTTCAACTACGTTTAGTTTTTAAATTTTCAACGATTTTAAATAAAAACGCAATCCGGGAGATCAGAAAGTGGAATTTTAGAAGCAAATATATTGTTTATAACAACAAAACAGAGAAAGCTCAAAAATTGTGTGAGAAATTATGCAGGGATGAATAAAAAATTCTTAAAAATTAAAAACAAATCCTTTCTCCAAGTTTTACGAGTATCTGCCGATATATAACCCTATCCTCCATATAAAACATCTTGCAGAAAATCAGTTTCTAAAAAATTTGCATTAAGAAAATGATCAATAACGTAAAAACAAAGATATTTTATTTGTTTATTTATTAGCTATACCCAGTGTGCTGTGCTACCCTAAAAGCAATATACATAAATAAGAAACCCACTTAACGATTTTGATGATTCTAACTACAATGGTTTTCCAGATATACAATTTGTTACATATGGAAGATTCCACGCAAATTAATGCAATTTCGCCAATTATTCCGAACGTTAATTAAGATTTTAATTTAATCTATGAAAAATTTGAATAGTCTAATAGTTTCCCAGATATACAAAATTTTTTTTTTTCATATGGGAAGTGCCAAGCCCCCCATTGAAAGTCCGCCCGTTATTCTCTAAATGTTCTTCAGTAAAATTTGAAGATTCTAGCTCTAATAGTTTCTCGGATATACGAATTTTTCTATTTAATTCATATGGGAGCTCCAGGCCCTCCAGATGAAAGTCCGCCTGGCAACTCTAAAGGCAGACTTTATGATTAAAATAAGTAAGTATTAAGAGTTATATTCGGCAAATCATATGTCGTAAAAAAGCAAATTTCGGAAGTGGTCATTTACATATATATATGGACTTTGATCATAAGATTAATTAGAACGTCACCTTGATTTTCGGATTAGGGACTTAAATGTGGAATTGGGTCAATTATGGACAAAGTTCTCTATAATTTAAAGTATTTTTTTTAATTCTACCATAATTCTATCATAATGATTACTTTTGGAATGATTTAGCTATAAACTGATTTTCTGTAAGGTTATATTGGCGGACCGATCCTCATAATTTTATTTTTCATAAATGTAGGTTTCGTCGACATCGACATTTGAAAGCTATTTATGTGCGTTGAAGTCATTTTCTGCAGAAGATTTCATATACATACATATTTTCGTTCCAAAAAAAACTGTTTTATTATGGTATTATTAAGTACGTAGAAAACGTTAAAATCAATTATTGAAGGGGACAGGGTCAATTATGGCCTATAGAGATTTCGATTGATATCGAGCCCTTTTTGCAAAATGGACGTAAGCGAGATAAATCTTCGTTCAATTAGGATACTGCGTGTTTAATTTTATGTTTATATATTCAATATTTTAGAAAATTCAAAAAGTACCAGTTAAAGAACGAAAAATTACCAGAAATACTCCAATTTAAATTTTCATTCACTCAAGTCCCTGATTGCTTAGTTTTATGTTTTTAGGTTCATTATAATAGAAAATTCAAATAGTACCAGATGAAGAACGAAAAAGTACCAAAAAGTCCCGTCTTATATGTTCTCACTTACTCCATGCCCTACAGGTTTAATTTCATGTCTATAGGTTCAATATTATAAAAAATTCAAAAAATACCTTTTGAAGAACGAAAAAGTACCAAAAGTCCCCTTTTATATGTTATCACTTAATCCGGGCTGTACATTCCTAATTTCATGTTTCTAGGGCCCAAATTATGGCATACGATATCGATCGAAATCTCCATTTAGATTCTATTGAGATTTCGATCGATATCGTATGGCATAATTTGGGCCTAGGTTCAATATTATAAAAAATTCAAAAAGTACCAGTCGAAGAACGAAAAAGTACCAAAAAGTCCCCTTTTATATGTTATCACTTAATCCGGGCTGTACATTCATAATTTCATGTTTCTAGGTTCAATATTATAAAAAATTCAAAAAGTACCAGTCGAAGAACGAAAAAGTACTAAAAAGTCCCTTTTTATAGATTATAATTTACTCCGGGCTCTACATATTTATTTTTATGTTTCTAGGTTTAATTTTATGGAAAACTCAAAAAGTACCAGTCGAAGTACGATAAAGTTTCCCTTTTATAGATTCTCATTTACTCGAGGCTCTAAGTGCTTAATTTCATGTTTCGAGGTTCAAATTTTGTAGCAAGCTCAAAAAGTACCAGTCAAAGAACGAAAAAGTACCAAAATGTGCCATTTTATAGATTCTCATTTACTCCGGGCTCTACGTGCATAATTTCATGTTTCTATGTTCAATTTAATAGAAAACTCAAAAAGTACCTTTTGAAGAACGAAAAAGTACCAAAAAGTCCCCTTTTATAGGACCTCACTTAATCCGGGATGTACATGCTTAATTTCACGTTTCTAGGTTCATTATTATACAAAAACTTATAATGTACCTTTTGAAGAACCAAAAAGTCCCCTTTTACAGGTTCTCACTTAATCGGGGCTCTACATGCTTTCAAGTTTCTAGGTTTAATATTATAGAAAATTCAAAAAGTTCCTTTTGAAGAACGAATACTTTTTATAGATTGTCAAGTGCATAATTACATGTTTCTAAGTTCTAAGTCAAAAAAGTACCAGTTGAAGTACGATAAAGTACCAATAAGTCCCATTTTATAGATTCTCATTTACTCCGGACTCTACTTGCTTAATTTCATGTTTCTAGGTTAAATTTTATAGAAAACTCAAAAAGTACCTTTCTAGAACGAAAAAGTTCCGAAAAGTCCCTTAATTATTAATTTCATGTTTCGATTTCAATATCATAGAAAACTCAAAAAGTACCAGTTGGAGAATGAAAAAGTACCAAAAAATATCACTTGGTACCGGTGTTCTAAATAACACCCCATTAGCATATTTAGTGTTTCTTGAATGAAATAAAATTTCCCGTTTTTACCCCTTCTGGTAGTTTTTTCCTCCCCATTAACGAAATAAAAATTCTGTTCCAAAAAGTTGCAACATCGTATTGGGAGCCCGTTATAATGTATTCATATGTATAAGTTAATAAACCAAAAACAAAGTTTTATAAAAAAGTACCAAATATAGGTACAATTTTCACCCCTTAAACGTCCGAATATCCAAAAAGTACTAAATTCATATTTTTATTTGTTCGTCAAGTTATGAAGGATTCAAAAATATTTTTTGAATGTTTTCTGGTTTAAAAGATACATTGGCTGCAAAAGAAGTACCAAATTACAGTTTTTACCCGTTTATTCCCCAAAGGGGCCGAATTTGAAAAAATTACCGGACACCTGTCCCCTTTTTTTAAAGCTTAACTTTTCTAGTTTAGGAGATTTGAGGTTACCGAATTTACGTTTTTACCCTTTTTAACCCCCAAAAAATTCGAATTTCTTATTGGATACATTTGGTGGGAGACCAATCTCCTGCCCAAATTTCAGCTCTTTAGCTTCAACCGTTTAGGCTCTACGATGACCATCATGATGCCTCCTCTTTCTTGAAAAGAAAGACGCTCTTTATAGACAATTTTGTTTTTTATTTAATTTTTTATATATAAAATTTTATTTTCAGTTTTTAACTAAATTTGCTTAAACTTGACATCAGTTATGATTTTACAAATATTTCTTTATATTTATAACATTTCGGTATATATGTATATTAAAACTTGGTTTTTTATTTAATAAACTAACTACTTAATTAATAAAAAAAAAACATTTACACTTAATTAATAATTAAAATATATGTATATTATATTTAAGAATATGCAATAAATTTATGGAAGTTTTATAGTCGTTTTATAATAAATCACATCTTAATATATAATGACTATTTTATAAATAATTTTTTTATTATTGTTTTTAGTTTTTTTTTTTTAAATTTATATTTACAAAAAAGTCTTAATTATTTATTTATTTGTTCGCTGTTTTTCTTTCCATACATACATATGTACATAATTATTTTAAATGTTAACTTAATGGCAACAAAATTGCAGTTTATTTTATTTTTTATTTTTTTTATATTAAAGATATTTTTAAAAATATTGCATTTATTTTTTTTTATTATTTTTTTACAAATTAACTAAAATATTTTTAAAAAAGTATTTTGGCTTGTTGAGGGATTTGTTTTGTTTTTTAAGTTCGTTTTATATTCGAAATTTTTCATAATTCGGTTGTAGTTTCGACTTCTGAGCGATCTAAATCATTTAAATAGGAAAAACCCATTTGACCATAATCACGTTTACCGAAGGTGACATTTTCATTTGAAGGACTTATATGACTTAAATCACCATTAGATCTGAAATAAATAGAGAAATAAAAAAATAAATAAAATTTGGATATTTTGAAATAAAATATTTATCTTTTATAGTTTTTTCTAGTTAATTTTATAGATTTCTGTAAGTCTGGCAATATAGAAACATAAACACTCACCTTTGAAATAATGGATTTGTTATTGGCACTTCATTATATCCCCGCTGTATATTATGCTGATGATTCCTACCCAAAGTATTTGTCATTAGCTCCCCATTACCCCCCATTTCACCGCCATTGTTGGCATTCGTATTATTATTACCAAAAGTATTGCCCCTTCGTCCCAAAGTACTATAGGCATTATTTTGTGCATTTGCCAAATTATTACGACTCACTGTATCCAATTTATAGCCACCATTCTGATAATGATTAGAATTTTGATGTTTAATACGACCCAGTGTTAAAGTACCCGGCAGTGTACCATTGGCCGCCAAAGGATTAGCATTATTGCGTACATTCATTTCCAATGTACGATTAAAAGTATTTTGTCTATTGTTCATGGTATGATTGTTAATGTTATTATTGGCCGACATATTATTTAAATTATTATTGTTATTTCTGCGTAACGTGGCTATGGTGGCAGTGGTAGCTTCTGAATGCGAAGGACTAGTTTGTCCCCCACTCGAGCTGCCATTGTGTTCCTTGTGAGTTATATAACTCACATTGTCCAGCGAGAAAGCATGATTTTTGGCACTGAAATCGATTTGTAGTTCATCATCACCATCTGGTGGCACTGCCATGGCTAAAACTTGAGTTTCATACTCTTTTAGATTGGCTACAGTATCGCCACCATTAGAGGCTTGAGAGTTAACTATGACGGGATCATAACGTGTCGGACTGGGGGTGGAATATTGACGCATACGTTGTTTAAAGTTTTTGTACCTGAAAATGAAGGAGGAAAATAGTAAATTATAAATAATACTGCCTAATAATGGAAATGTTTTACTTACTTTGACCAAGATATGCAAATATAGATAATACCAATTGTACCCAAAATCAATATAATAATGGAAATCGCTATCAAAGTATAAGGGAAAACTTCATCATTAATAGCTATAGGCAAAACCTAAAAGAAAAACAAAAAACAATTATTAAATTTATTACAAATTCTATTACAATTTCCTTTAAACACTTTCTCACCTTGCTATGTACCACTTGTTTTAACTCAATGGGCGGATAAATACCCTCCGCCGTGGCCCTGGCCACTCCGGAGGCAGCAAAATTTAATTCAGCTCGGGCGGTAGGTTCCAATAGGGTTTCTTGAACAATGGAAGAATTACGCTGTAGAATAGTTTCCGTTTTCGGATCAATAAGATAAAACCAAACATCGGTGGCAGAGGGATTTTCCAATATAGTACCATTTTCATTTAAGAATTTACGATTACTAAAACGTTCTATGCCCGTGATTAAACCGCCTGTCTTTTCGGAAAATAATTCCTCTAAGGCGGCATATTGATTGCGCAATTCATTGGGTGTAGCATCGGAAAAGACCAGGGAAAGGCGATTTAAATCGGTAATTTGATTGATAACAATGCGTGCTCGGGTACGATGAGAACCCATTTCTTGACCATCATTGTCACGAGCCTCTACATAGAAAATCATGGGGAAATGAGTTTGCTCACGGAATGATTTGGCAGTGCGTAAAATGCCTGTTTCCTCGGTCATAACGAAATAACTGGTGGGCTGTTTTATTAAAGAAATAAATGATTAATTTTTCGAATATGTTTTCTTAATTTTATAGCAAAACTTACCAAATTCTCAGTGCTTATACTATTGTCTTCCTCATCGTATATCTTATAGCGTATCATGCCAAATTTACCCGAATCCCTATCGGTGGCTCGCACCTGTAATATGGGTGTATCTATATCCATTTCAGGGGTAACTACTGCATAGAAAGTATCTTTACGTCCTCGGGCCCTATTGTATATAAATTCGGGAGCATTATCATTTTCATCTTGCACTATAATCTTAACCGTGGTGCTGCTTTTTTGTGGGTTAATAAAATATTTATGTGAGACCAATTTCAAATCCAAAGAATGGGCAGTTTTATTTTCAAAATCCAAATGTTTGATTAACTTGATGCCACAACCATGATCCTCTTGGGTAACATTAAACAAACCCAAATCATTGCCTTTAATGATTTCACATTTAAATCCAGGATTTGATTTAACCGATTTTTTGGAGTTAATAACTTGTATCAGTTTAATGGTGGCATTAATGCCAGTGGTTTCCGGCACTCCCGTAGTATAACTGTCATCACTAAAGGCCAAACCTAAACTTTCGGGGGACATTATTACACCATTATCTAGACGACCCTCCATCATGTTGTCCTCATTGGGATCGGTTAGTAAATGTCTAACAAATACCGGCAAAGTGGCTACAGAACTCAATTGAGGTTCTCCCATATCATAGGCTCTAATGTCCACCTGATATTCGGTGTCTTCTTCCTTGCGCAATTCATCACGTATACGTATGGCACCAGTATCGGGATCAACTTGGAAATATTTCAAAGCTTTACCTCTACCCACCATTTCGTAGCGTACCACATTTCCAGGAGAAGAACCATCACCATCTATTGCTGGCATGGTGGCTATCATGGCTCCTATAGGCTGATCATCATTAACTGTTACAGTTTCGGGTACCGATACAAATACCGGACGTACATCATTGCGATCTTCCACCTCTACCACAACTTTAATGGTATCCCCGGCTGCGTTGCCATCATTCTCTATGGTACCCACAATCAGTTCATGAACCTTTTGTTTTTCATAATCCAAACCCTTGGTCGTTCTAATTTCTCCAGTTTGAGGGTTAACCTTAAAAAGATCGGTAGCTCCTTTGCGTATCACATAAGTTATTTCTGGCATAGTATCAGGATCAAAGGCCTGTACCGTCGCCACCGTAACATCTGGTTCATTTTCAGGTATGCGTACATCTATGCGGGAATCGCTGAATTTAGGCACTTCATCGGGGAGATCTTTGACCAAAACCGTCACACTAGCTGTACCCAAACGAGCATCAGGAGCACCATCCTTGGCAGTGACTACAAAACGATATTCATTTTGTTTTTCATAATCCAAAGCTGCGGAGGTACGTATTTCTCCCGAGGAGCCATTAATAGCAAAAGGTATATCATTGGGTATGGAATAGGTAATTTCAGCATTTATGCCCTCATCCGCATCGGTGGCATGAACAATGCCCACAAAAGCTTGAGCTTTACCCTCATCAACATGGAATACATAAGGCAAAGTGGATTCATCGAATTCCGGATTCTTATCGTTGATATCGGTGACCTTGATATTAACTGTAGCGGTGCTGGATAGACCGCCATTATCTTCAGCCTTAACAATTAACTGATAGCGCGTTAAACTTTCACGATCCAGTTTACGTATCACAGCTATAACACCCGATTCTTGGCCTACGGCAAATTGTCTTAAATCATTACCCGATATAATGGAATATATCACAGGATCATTTTCGGGATCTTCAGCATGCACCACAGTAACAGTAGAGTTAATTTCAGCTCCCTCACTAACTTGCACCTCATAAACAGGCTTAACAAACTTTGGTGGTTTTGTATTAGGTCCTGGAGTAACTGTTACCTCCACAATAGCCTGCGAAGAAAGTCCTCCGATATCTGAAGCCTGTACCGTAATACTATATTGTTCCCCAGCCAAAAGACGTCCACGAGTTTCAATTTCTCCCGTCTGTTCATCGATATAAAACTTTTGCATGCCATTATTGGAAACATGATAAATAGAATAAGTTATCACAGCATTGGCGCCCTCATCATTATCGGTGGCTGTTACATTCGCTACTTTACGTATGCCATCTCCTGCTGTAATGGACACTGGTGGAACCATAGACAATTTGGGAGCATTGTCATTAACATCCTTTAATATAACCGTTAAACTTAAAGGAGCACTAGCAGCATTGGTTTTAGGTTCTCGGGCCACCACTTGGAATTTGTATTTTCCAGGAGCAGGAGGATCACGATCTAAACCTTCTTCATTTACCACTAAAATACCATCGGCTGTTACCTCGAAGGAGGGTGTCGTTAACTCATAAATATAATCTGGCTTAGGATCATCTTCGGTTAAGTCAGCATCTGTGGTCTTGAAAGATATAGGTTTACCATTCTCATCTAATACCCGTGTACCCAATGGAGAATTTTCATCTACATAACCCACCACCGAACTGGCCGATATTACTGGTGGATTGGCATCTACTGGTTTAACATTGATGGTTAATTTAGCGGTGGTAAATCGTTTTGCAGTGGACACTTCTTCGGCTTTAACTATAATATCGTACTTTTTCGCTGTGGAGGTATCTACCGCTTTAATTTGTTTTAGCACTCCTGTTTGTTCATCGATTTCAAAATAATCTGCATAGTTTCCCGGCATACCACTGGCAAATGAATAACGTATGGGTGAGCTTATTGTATCCAAATCTACAGCTTGTATTCTTTCGGGTGTTACGGTGAGTACACCTTGTAGGGAACCTGCCGGTACTGAGGCAGTATATTCTGGATTTATGCAGGCTCCATCGAGCAGTACACAGCCACGATATATAAACGAGGGATCTAAATCATCTGAATCGGCTATGTTGACCGTTAGGGTGGTGGTGGATGATAAACGTTCTGAAACATTTCGTGCTCGATCCTGTAATGAAAGGAGAAGGTAGAAAGAGCTGATTAGTTTAGAATTATCTTCTAGTTCAGTACTAGTTTAGTTCTAGTTTAATTTTAGTTCAGTTCTAGTTCAGTTCCAATTCAATTCTAGTTCAGTTCTAGTTCAGTTCTAATTCAGTTCTAGTTCAGTTCTAGTTCAGTTCTAGTTCAGTTCTAGTTCAATTCTAGTTCAGTTCTAGTTCAGTTCTAGTTCAGTTCTAGTTCAGTTCTAGTTCAGTTCTAGTTCAGTTCTAGTTCAGTTCTAGTTCAGTTCTAGTTCAGTTCTAGTTCAGTTCTAGTTCAGTTCTAGTTCAGTTCTAGTTCAGTTCTAGTTCAGTTCTAGTTCAGTTCTAGTTCAGTTCTAGTTCAGTTCTAGTTCAGTTCTAGTTCACTTCTAGTTCAGTTCTAGTTCAGTTCTAGTTCAGTTCTAGTTCAGTTCTAGTTCAGTTCTAGTTCAGTTCTAGTTCAGTTCTAGTTCAGTTCTAGTTCAGTTCTAGTTCAGTTCTAGTTCACTTCTAGTTCAGTTCTAGTTCACTTCTAGTTCAGTTCTAGTTCAGTTCTAGTTCAGTTCTAGTTCAGTTCTAGTTCAGTTCTAGTTCAGTTCTAGTTCAGTTCTAGTTCAGTTCTAGTTCAGTTCTAGTTCAGTTCTAGTTCAGTTCTAGTTCAGTTCTAGTTCAGTTCTAGTTCAGTTCTAGTTCAGTTCTAGTTCACTTCTAGTTCACTTCTAGTTCAGTTCTAGTTCAGTTCTAGTTCAGTTCTAGTTCAGTTCTAGTTCAGTTCTAGTTCAGTTCTAGTTCAGTTCTAGTTCAGTTCTAGTTCAGTTCTAGTTCAGTTCTAGTTCAGTTCTAGTTCAGTTCTAGTTCAGTTCTAGTTCAGTTCTAGTTCAGTTCTAGTTCAGTTCTAGTTCAGTTTCTAGTTCAGTTCTAGTTTCAGTTCTAGTTCAGTTTCTAGTTCAGTTCTAGTTTCAGTTCTAGTTCAGTTTCTAGTTCAGTTCTAGTTCAGCTCTAGTTCAGTCTAGTTCAGTTCTAGTTCAGTTCTAGTTCAGTTCTAGTTCAGTTCTAGTTCAGTTCTAGTTCAGTTCTAGTTCAGTTCTAGTTCAGTTCTAGTTCGTTCTAGTTCAGTTCTAGTTCAGTTCTAGTTCAGTTCTAGTTCAGTTTTCGAGTTCAGTTCTAGTTCAGTTCTAGTTCAGTTCTAGTTCAGTTCTAGTTCATTCTAGTTCAGTTCTAGTTCAGTTCTAGTTCAGTTCAGTTCAGTTCTAGTTCAGTTCTAGTTCAGTTCTAGTTTCAGTTCTAGTCAGTTCTAGTTCAGTTCTAGTTCAGTTCTAGTTCAGTTCTAGTTCAGTTCTAGTTCAGCTTCTAGTTCAGTTCTAGTTCAGTTCTAGTTCAGTTCTAGTTCAGTTCTAGTTCAGTTCTAGTTCAGTTCTAGTTCAGTTCTAGTTCAGTTCTAGTTCAGTTCTAGTTCAGTTCTAGTTCAGTTCTAGTTCAGTTCTAGTTCAGTTCTAGTTCAGTTCTAGTTCAGTTCTAGTTCAGTTCTAGTTCAGTTCTAGTTCAGTTCTAGTTCAGTTCTAGTTCAGTTCTAGTTCAGTTCTAGTTCAGTTCTAGTTCAGTTCTAGTTCAGTTCTAGTTCTAGTTCAGTTCTAGTTCAGTTCTAGTTCAGTTCTAGTTCAGTTCTAGTTCAGTTCTAGTTCAGTTCTAGTTCAGTTCTAGTTCAGTTCTAGTTCAGTTCTAGTTCAGTTCTAGTTCAGTTCTAGTTCAGTTCTAGTTCAGTTCTAGTTCAGTTCTAGTTCAGTTCTAGTTCAGCTCTAGTTCAGTTCTAGTTCAGTTCTAGTTCAGTTCTAGTTCAGTTCTAGTTCAGTTCTAGTTCTAGTTCAGTTCTAGTTCAGTTCTAGTTCAGTTCTAGTTCAGTTCTAGTTCAGTTCTAGTTCAGTTCTAGTTCAGTTCTAGTTCAGTTCTAGTTCAGTTCTAGTTCAGTTCTAGTTCAGTTCTAGTTCAGTTCTAGTTCAGTTCTAGTTCAGTTCTAGTTCAGTTCTAGTTCAGTTCTAGTTCAGTTCTAGTTCAGTTCTAGTTCAGTTCTAGTTCAGTTCTAGTTCAGTTCTAGTTCAGTTCTAGTTCAGTTCTAGTTCAGTTCTAGTTCAGTTCTAGTTCAGTTCTAGTTCAGTTCTAGTTTCAGTTCTAGTTTCAGTTCTAGTTCAGTTCTAGTTCAGTTCTAGTTCAGTTCTAGTTCAGTTCTAGTTCAGTTCTAGTTCAGTTCTAGTTCAGTTCTAGTTCTATTTCAGTTCTAGTTCAGTTCTAGTTCAGTTCTAGTTCAGTTCTAGTTCAGTTCTAGTTCAGTTCTAGTTCAGTTCTAGTTCAGTTCTAGTTCAGTTCTAGTTCAGTTCTAGTTCAGTTCTAGTTCAGTTCTAGTTCAGTTCTAGTTCAGTTCTAGTTCAGCTCTAGTTCAGCTCTAGTTCAGTTCTAGTTCAGTTCTAGTTCAGTTCTAGTTCAGTTCTAGTTCAGTTCTAGTTCAGTTCTAGTTCAGTTCTAGTTCAGTTCTAGTTCAGTTCTAGTTCAGTTCTAGTTCAGTTCTAGTTCAGTTCTAGTTCAGTTCTAGTTCAGTACTAGTTTCAGTTCTTGTTCAGTTCTAGTTCAGTTTCTAGTTCAGTTCTAGTTCAGTTCTAGTTCAGTTCTAGTTCAGTTCTAGTTCAGTTCTAGTTCAGTTCTAGTTCAGTTCTAGTTCAGTTCTAGTTCAGTTCTAGTTCAGTTCTAGTTCAGCTCTAGTTCAGTTCTAGTTCAGTTCTAGTTCAGTTCTAGTTCAGTTCTAGTTCAGTTCTAGTTCAGTTCTAGTTCTAGTTCAGTTCTAGTTCAGTTCGATTTCTAGAAAGCTACTTATGTCTAGATTCAGATCAAAACGTCAAATATGTGACTGTGAAAGGCATTTCGAAGATTTAGAGCCGATTCGATATGAGTTTAAAATAACCGACTTGAATCAAATTTTCAGAATTGTTAGCCCCAATCCTAATGTAATCCTACATTTAATTTTTTATACGCCAACATTTCCTCAAAATAAAATCCTTATTTTTTTCTAACACAATTTCCAAATTACATAACAATTACTTTCGTTAAGAAAAATTTAAAGAAAATTTTTATTTTCATTTCCATATCCATAAAAATCAATTGATACCAAAAAACACAAAAAAGTATTAGAGCAGATCTATTGCGAACGACAACATTCGACATGCAAGTGTTACAGATACACAAAAATGTTTGTGTTACTCCATTTCTGGGTCGTTTTACAGGCAGCCATAGTCTGTCTTCATTTCACAGTTGTTTTTAATTTTTTTTTCGTTTTTTGTTTCAATTTAGTGTGAATAATTACAATTGACATCAAAATTGCAATAACGTGTTTGTAAAAACATACTTTCAATTTCCTAATACAGATCAAAAAAAAAACTTAAATTAAAAAACACTAGACCAAAAAAAAAAAAAAAGGAAAATCTATAAAATGTGTTTTAAAGCAAATCAAGATCTATTCAAGTAAAACATATAAAGTTAGTAAGTTTTTTGAATACCAATAGCATTAGTTTGGTAACAAATCTTGCTTAGGTTTTTTTCTTTGGTATTTTTTAGTTATTTGGTTCATATAATTTAACATCCGTGAAGTACTTGACATGTCAAAGTTGATTGCATGGCTAGTTAGTATTAACCGACAAAAATTTAAATTGAAAAAGTAAGAGTTTGTTGTTTTTTAACTTATGCGTTTTTAGTTGAAAGAGTTGGTCACAAAAATTCAGTTTCATGTTTTCAAATTGTTATAGAAAAAAATTTGCTATAAAAATTTTGCTAAAAACGCACGTTTTATTGTCTTAAATGCTGATCTTAACAAAATTTTTATGAATGAAATGTTTTTAAGACAGTGAACGGCTTAAAGGGAACATAATACCGAGATTTATTGAAAGCTTTTAAGCTATTTAAAACTTATAGTATTTGTTTACTCTTTACTTGATGGGATAAAAAGAAGAAAAGCTCGGCTCCTATAGACTATATTTGCCGCTCACTGCTATAAACCTATAAAAACTGTGTAAGTAGATCTTAAATTGAAAGATTTTTAATTGCTTGTACTTAAAGCAGTTGTTACATGTTTTAATGATTTCTTTTTATTTTCTCTATGTCTTTGTTTGAAATCAGAAGAGACTAAAAGACTAGACTTTAAAAATTTTCAACACACAAAACAATCACTAAATAATTAATTGTTGTTATACGTACAGATTCTTTTTTGTTTGATTTTATTTAAAATGAGTCGCATACAATTATTTTTAACTGTATGTTGTAAAATTCATTAATTTGCTAGACCAACAACAAGTAGCAGCTGCCAACAGTTACTGTTTAAACAAAAAATAAAAAAATATTTTTATATAAAAAATTTAACTAACACCTACGCTGTTAGTTGATAAAAAAAAGAATTTTTCAATTCAAAAGCAATTTACAAAAATTTTGCAGCAAAACATTCGCAGTGGCAAATCAACACCGGGGTAAACAAGTAAGAAATTATAGTCGAGCGAGGCCGACCATTTAAACCCTACACCTGTTACAAAAATTAAATATGATTTAGTTTTCTTTACAAAGCATTTAAGTTGAATTGTACCTTGTCTCAGATATACTTAAGCCATTTATTGTTGAACAAAATTGTGGACATTTAAGTCAAATGTTGAAGGGGGGCTTTGATCAAATAAGACCCTTTAATTATAAAATTCATGAGAGTCATAATGGCGAGAACTTGGTTTTGCAGCTATTTTTTGAGATACGCTTATATTAAACATAATTATGAACTTGAAAGACCTATTCATCGGGTTCAGTTGTATGGGGGATGTTAACCATTTTCAATAGGCTTCGTCTCCCATACCATAGAAGATCATGTGCCAAATTTCACTGAATTATATTCAAAATTGCGACCTGAAGTTTGATTACAAGATTTACATGGATAGACGGACGGACAGACGGACATAGCTTAATCGAC